TAAATTCATTGCTTGATAAGCTAAAAGGATGTATATATATTGTTTTACGTACAGGTAACCCTAAAAAGTCGTGTTGTACTCCATTTTCCTTTATCATCCATGCAGATGATTTTTCTCTTTTTCTTTTTAATGCATGTTCATTTTGTCATGTGCAACGACTGCCGTAAACTAATTCAGTATCATACATTAATGGCTACTGGTATACACCATGCACCCAACAGTGACAACCAGGACGATGAAAGACGTTTTGCCGATTGTGACAGTAAGTTGTTACAAGAATCAATTGATATACAAGGTTTATTTCATCTAGAAAAAACACTAAAGATCGGGACGGTTATTTTAATGGGTGGTCCATGGTCTATTGACAATATTTCATGGAACAGTAGTAATTGTAATTTAAAAACTAGGCCACCTGCTGTTTGTCAAAAACCATATTCGATAGATGATGATAAACGCACATGTTTCGGAAATAATATGGCTCAAATAACAAACTATAGTCAACAAGTTTTACAAAGAAACAATATTAAACTTTTATTACCAGATGTCAAAATGAATTTGTTACCCTATCCAAAATCATTTAATGTAACGGTGATTGATGTAAAGCCGGTGTCCCAGTGTGACGGCCATAATCCAGTAGCATGTCACGTGCTAATGGATAAAAATGATTGTACATTTATATTTTGTCATTTAGTAAGTGATACACATTTACTTCAAATTACAGTTAAATATGAAAGTCCAGCAGCTGTTGAACCATTGTTTTTGGTTAATATGACTATGTTGTGTCATTCGGAGCTTCATAAATACTATAAACAAAATAATCCGTTGCTTAAACAGATGTTATTAAGTACAAAAGTTGGGGATGTCATGTGCCATTTTGTTAGCGCTGTGAGCAGCTTTTTTATATGTAAAAACTGAAAATGTCAAGATTTTTCATATTAGAGCTATCTGTCTAGCAAAGCTTATTTTTAGAATGCCCAGTGTACAATATCTAATTGCCCAAATGACTTAGAAGTCTGTGTCATATGAAAGGCCTTAGATTACACTTTCCATGTTTCATCCCTAATGTCGATTGAAAACCGGTTTTTCTTGCTTTTTATGTCACTTTCGAACCAACAGACATTAATCAATAACATCAGAAGAAGCTCCTCTTTACAAAAATAAAATATTTGACTTTTGCAATATTATGCGTCTGAATGCGTCATGGTTTATGCCAAGACAAATTAATTATTGTTTTTATGACTAGTGCAAGATGTATTTGGGATGTATGACGAGAGCAAAACTGATGATGTTTTTGTTTTATAGCAGTCTATTTTTCGAGAGCACTATAAATCTGTTTTAAATTTCCTTTTCTATTTTAAAACGAGGATATAATACTATTCTCTTTCGACACTCGTCTACAGATACTCGAAAAACAAGAAAAATTGTGTTTTATTAAACGTAGTGATTTATGCACCATCTGGTGTTATTTCGAAACAAGCATACTGCTATAATCAGTACTAGTATATTTTTATTTTATTATCACATAAGCCATATCTTGAATTTTATCCTTTTGTTTGTGAACGATCTCAAATGGTAAACGTTACAGATTGCAGCGACGATATGTGTTCAAATCGAGGTGATTGTTATATTAACTTTGAAAGCAATTCAGCAATTTGTTTATGTCAAGAATGTTTCGCTGGCGCTCACTGTGAGACTGAAGATAACTTGCTGTCTTACTCAATTACATCAGTAATGTTATTGAACATACGTTTATCACCAGAACATAATTTACTTTTACTTTATGTCTTCATTATTAGTTTCATAATGTTTTGTGGATTAGTTAATAATCTTTTAACTATGCAAACAGTTTATCACCAAAGGATACGGCTCACATGTTCTGGCTTTTATATATTTATGCTTAGTTTCTACGGGATTATTTTAATGATATTGCTTGAAATACGGATCCTTAGTGCTCTATATGCTCAGAAATCAATATCATCTTATGCATATCAATATTTCTTTTGTAATATTTTGCCTGTTCTACCAGTTGTATTTAACACAGTTGCCCACTGGACAAGTGCATTTTTAGCTGTTGAACGAACCTTAATGGAATTATTTTTCTTTAAACTGTTTGGTGCAACAAGAAAACATGCAGTAATAATAACAATAGTTTTATTTTGTTTCGTTATTTCGTCATCTATTCCAATTGTATTAAGTAGGCAAGTCGTGCCTGATCGAAAATCACCATCGGGCAATGAGTATATTTGCACATTTAGAAAGGCGCCGAAATTAAACAAAATCGATCACATATTCTCAATGATTCATTTAATCGGTCCATGTACATTTCATTTCGTATCGAACTTACTTATATTTACGAGTGTTGCTCGACGAAAAGTTTATTTAGCCACCGGTCATGCATTGACATACTGGCGTGCATGGTTTAGTCAATTATCACTTCATTGTGACTATTTTATTGCGCCTATTATGATTCTTTTATGTCTAGTACCACATTTAATATTTTTTCTATTATTAGTTTGTATACCTCCTGAAATCAGCATCTATTTATATTTAC